GGGGGAGGGGCTGGGGGAGGAGGTGGTAGCTCCCGGGTTAGTGAGGTCCAGCGAAATGTGGGTTCCCTAAGGATAGATCGTCTCTTCTCAGGGAGTGGAACTGGGGCAGATGGGGGAGTTGGGGCACGTGGTGGAGAAGGAGCTGGTGCTGGTTCCTGGGGAGCAAGTGGGGAGGTGGTGATAGGAGGTCGCAGAATAGGTGAGACCTCCACCTTTAGGGGCTTTGGAGGGTCTTCATCCATAAATCGCCGGGGTGTCTTGATGACACGTGAGGAGCGAGCACTCACCACAGGCATAATAAACTGCCGGATATTCTTCAGGAAGGTGGTACTTTTGGGGGCCACAGTGGGACTGTCTTCCAAAGGAGCTCCTGTGGTTGCACTGGCATTTGGAGTGGGAGGAGAGGTGCCCTCTGGCCCTGCCCGAGCAGCTTCCCGCTCTGCCCGCTGGCTAGGAGTCAGGGGAGGCCGGCCCCTTTTCCTGGAGCATGTAACAGGGACAGCAGGAGGAGGGGACTCTTCTTGCTCCTCAGGGGCAGGAAGTGGTGGAGGGGATGGTATCGGAGGCGGGGACACTGGAGGTGGTAGAGGGCAAGGTGGAGGTGGAGGAGACGCTGAAGGGGGTGGGAGAGGAGAAGGAGGTGGAGGGGCTGGAGGAGTTGGGGGTGGTGATGGTGGCTTTGCCTCTTCCTTTTCCTTGGCTAGTATCACCTCCTCCTCAACCACAGTTCTTTCTTCCTTCTCTCCTTCCTCTTTGTTTTCTTCTTTTTCTTCCTCTCCCTCCTCCTCCAGCTTCTGCTCCTGCTTCTTCCAACAAGGACCCTCTTCCTGTTCAGATCCAGCTTGTCTTTGGGGGTCATCCTGCCAGCTTTCCCCATGTCGACCTTGACCCTGACCTGATTCAAGTCCCAAGGACAACTGTTCCATCTTCACTTTTTTGGCCTTGGGAACAAACTTGATCACGAGGGGGAGCCCGCCTCGGCCTCTGCCCCTGCCTCCGCGTCCTCCTCTCCCAGACTGTCCTCCACGTTTGAGGGTCCCAGGTCCCGGGCCAGGCCCCTCCTTGCACTTCCAACTGCCAGTTCGGTGTTTTATTGGAACCACAGGAGGTGGGGGCTCAGGTTTGGGGATTGTCACAGCCGCTTCTGCTACCACTACTGCTTGCTGCTTCTTTCGGCTGGGGCCTGCTGGTCGTCCTGGGGGCCGTCCCCGAGACCGACGGGGGGTGGAAGGCTCACATGCCCTGCTCCGGGGGGCTGGGGGTGCCTGGGCCCGCCGGAGAAGTTCAGTCAGTGCCTGCACCATCCGTTCTGTGCCCTCCTCACCCCGTTTTCGAGCAGGGGTCTTTGGGGGGGCAGGAGCCACATCTGCTAGGCGAGGAGGAGGAAGGGGGGTCGTCTTATGCTTGCGGCCCCGACCTCGGGGGGCTCGACCTAAAAGGAGAATAGGTGTGGGGAGACAGGTCAAGCTGGCCCTGCAAACCGAAGAAGGTGTACTGGGAGGGCAGGGACTAAGTCTCACTTGTCTGTTTCTCCCACAGCCCAGCCTAGCTTAGGCTCTGAACACAGGACACACTCAGTAACTGATGGAGACTAGTTAAACAGGGAGAGCTGACACAAAAGGTGAGAATAACATTCTTGTGAAGCTATGGAGGTAGAGTTTCCCCCATCACTCACCTCGCTGGGATCGGAGCGCAGAGCGCAGGGAAGTGGGGGCCACATCTTCATCTGAATGAAAACCCTGAAACTCCTGATTTAGGTGACCAAGGGTGGAGGGGAGAAACAGCAGTCAGTGCCAAAGCCTGATTCCACCTGGGACTCAGGTATTGAGGAATATCCCCAGCTTCCCTCTTAATGTACCCCTGATTAATCATAAATGAACTAAAAACCCGGAATGTCAGAAAGGAATAGAAAATGGTCTGTCCCCAGGGATGGAGGCAGAGGACATTTTCAACTCCCTTCTCCAGTGCAGGCCACAGCGGCACAGCCACCACTGGTTTCCTGGCTCAGAAGACAACACAACAGAGTCTCTTTGGGTCAGGCAGTAGGCCCTCTGCATTGAAGATCAACTCTAATTCAGAACAAAGTGGGGCCTCTATGCACACCCTTTCAGACCATAGTTTCTTCCTGAATAAAGACGGGAATAGGAAAACCGAAGGCAAAGGGTGGGACATAAAATGGTTTACCCTTTAGGGATCCACCATGGGCCCTCCAATGATTACTAACTGTCCTAAGCAATACAATCCATACTTTCCAGCCTTTTCTGATGGTCTGGGGGATAAACCCTGAGCTGAACTTTGACTTGACACACTCAACACTCAAGTTTTCATTCCATTCGTCTTTAACCTGTGTGCCAAGAAGCAGCCATACACTACTCCACCTTAGACTGGTGAGGGATTGTGGCACTGGCGAAACCAGGGATGTGTCAAAGTACGAGGCCCAGCAGGGCAGTCTACAGGTAAGGCCCCAGACGGCTCCAGTCCAGGTCCACCAAAGCCATGCTGCTGCTGTCAACCATCAGCGGTTGGGTATGCAGTCCCCATGGCCTCCTCACCCACACACCTGTACAGCCCTACCTTTGCTACCGAGAAAGATCAGCCTAGGACACTTCAGCAGGACCTGCTCTGAGCCGAATGCCTAGTTACAGCTGGGCTTCTCTCCACTTTCAGAAGCCCTATCCACCCAAAGCTCCGTGCAGCCCACCTTCTTCCATGTCTGTTTCCAAGACCAATTCTCTGAGCGGGAGTCCTGAGGTTCTCACTTCCCACGCCACCCTCCGGGGCCACCCCGGACCCTGTAAAACCCCTGGCCTCCGCCCCGCCCGGAGCTGGGGACGCCTCCGACCGCCTCACCTCATCGTCGGATTCCCCGTCACTGCTCTCCTCCTCTGGCAAGCAACCTCGGC